AGGGTAAGACTGCATACATCCAATCCCCCTTACCTCACCAAAGGTGGAAGCCTTTGCGGCACTAGGGTAATGATTATGATGACTTGATCATATTCTGACCGCCATCGTAACAAACCCCAAATATCAGTGATAGAGACCTACCTATTAGATTAATAATAGAAAGAATAATAATAATAGTTGTAATTAGGGCTTAGGCAGTATTATAGTATAAATAGATGTAGAGGGAAGGTAGTAAGGAGGCTTTTGGATTTTCTGTCTTGGGACTTGGGAAGATTAGAGAGTTATTCTCTTCTCTTTGGGAGGCTTCGGCCTTTGTTACTGTTTCTCCTCTGTAACCGATCTTCTTCATCAATAAAGAATTCAGTTGCATTGGGGGCTTCGGCCATAGTTACTGCTCTTGTTCTTCTTCAATAATATTTCAGTTGTTTTCTTGTTAATCTTTCTGTAAATCTTTCTGGAATCTTGGGGTTTCTATCATTGGTATCAGAGTTGTTACTTCCTGGAGACAAAGAATCTGTATCATGGAGGAGGATTTCTACATGACACCGCAAATGGAAATGAGTTTTGATAATATTGACCGAATTATGAGGGAGACACAAGCGAGTATGGTCGCGTTGCAAGAAAAGATGAAGATGATGATGGCCGCTATGCAAGAGGCGATGCAAGCTAGCGTCGCAGATTTGCAGAACCGACTTCAAAGTCGTTCGCGACATACATCGCACCATTCACACCGATCTTCGCATCGCTCATCCCACCATAACTCTTCCCATCGCTCGTCGTATAGCTCTTTTCGTCATACTTCGCATCATCAGTCGCGAAGGTCATCCGATCTAGAGGAATCGGAAGAGAATTTTGACTACTCTCATACGCATCGCAAATCTCATCATCGACATATGCGACTTTCGACTGACTCAGAGGAGTTGGAAGAGCAGAGGCGTCGCAGAAGAACCGAAGAACGATCGAGGGAAACTAAGTCTATTGACAAACAAGGTTCGTCGCCATCGCTCACAAACAAAGTCGCAAACAAAGTCGCGCACTGTTTCTCCTAGTTCTCAGTCGCGAAGTGTTTCTTCTAATTCCCAATCAAGAAAGATTTCATCGACGGATAGTTGTTCGTGTCCAAGAAAAACGTGATTGAGAGGAGAATCCTCATCTCCGCCCATAGATTCTCAACCAGCGCAAGAATTGTTTACTGGTTCACAGATGTCATCGCAACTTTTGTCCAAGGTTTCCAAGACAGCTCAAGCTTCTACGAGGGGAATTTCATTGACAACACAAAATCTTGAGTGGAAGCCTACAGAAACTTCAATACCGGAATTAGATTCAGACGAGGATACTAATCAGTCTACAGGTAACTCACTAGATAATCTGGAAGAGTCCGAGCTGCCAAAACCTAATAGACCTTACAGCCAGGAGGAAACTCATAACAACCACACTGATCCTATCATGGAACTGAACATCATTACCAAAAAGGCTGAGGAGGAAAGCATGTATCACCCACCTATCTTTACCTATGAGGGTCAGAGGCAAGGTAGTCAAAAGCGAGCGCCTGGGCGCTTAAGCGCACCAGGCGCAGCGCACATCAGCCCTATCGACTTAACAAAGGCCAGGCCTATCAGTGTAAGGCGCAGGTTATGCGCAGAAGCGCAGGAGCGCTGAAGCGCTAAAAAGCGCTCGCTAATCTCGCCTAGGGTGGAAACACACATTTAAGCCTAATATTTTAGTTTCATACTTTTTTAAATCAGAAGCCCATATCTTTAATATGATAAAGCCCAATTAAGTATCTAAATAAAAGGTCAAAGCGATGTAAATTTGCGTTAATCAACACAAGCCACAGTTTTGGTGTTCGCTTCTCAAGTCGTCAACTCTCCTGCTCTGCTTTACTTACATTACCTCAGTCTTTGCTATCTCCACAACAACCGCAGAAGCTGCCAGCACAATCAATGACAGTAAGTTTTCTTATCCTTCACTGTTCCATTTTCTTTGTTTTTTCTTTTTTTCAGCATCTACTTCTTAAAAACTCTATACAAATCATACATATGTATTTGTAAACTACCAGTTTAGTGGTCTATCATGTGTGACTCTCTTCATTGTTCCATTTTGTAATCATTTAATTAGAAAATATTTTCCATTCTTCTAATTATTGTTCCATTTATCAACATTTTCTTATTTGATATTTTTATTCATGTACACTTCATATAATCTAATCATTGAATAGTTTCATGAAGTATACTGTATAAATGATATCTGCCTTGTACATTTACAGGACACGAAATGTCGAACTTCAGCCACAGGTCCTGAAGCTGCCAAATCAGGAAAAACAGACCCAGCTCTTGAAAGCTAAATTTTACTTGGCTTATAAAAATGATGCAAATGCATGAATTTATTTTGGTGAATCATGACTTTATTTTTTAGAAACATGACTTTTTAATGTTGTTGGTTCAATATGATGTTATATACATCATGTTTGATACTTGCATAATAGTGTATGTGATATTTTATAAGTAATGCGCCTTACATGAGTCAGGCGAGCGCTTTTTTGCGCCTTGCGCCTCAGGCGATGGAAGTACTCCGTCGCCTTGAGTGCGCCTCACGACTTTGACTACCTTGGTCAGAGGTATGCAATTGTTCTGAAACCAAATCCAGAATATTTTAATTTTGGAATTGGTAGATTTCCAAATCTGGGATTGGTTGTTCTAAAGGAAATTATGCACCTTTGTGTACTAAGTAATAGTTGGAAAGGGCAGGATAAGTTTGATGATACTCCCTTGTGTAGCGGCAAACAGAAAATATTTTCAGGCAATCTATCTAAGCTCTTGTTGACAGTTTTGGATAGTAAGGGTGTAAAGGTAATAATGCATAATCTGGAAGAGTGGGTGTATGGTGTCATTATTTTTCTGCAGATAAGAAAACAGTAAGCCCACCTCAGTGTCTGGTTGATAGATACCAAGAAATTCTTTGCGGAAGTGGAAGTAAAAATGTTTATTGAATCATGGCAGGAGAATATTGAGGGAATGCTGGGTAGAATTAATAAAAGGGAATTGGGTGCCCTAATAGATTGTGTGCACCACCCTTCATCAAAGAAATTGTTGGAAGAGTTGAATCATTTTGAGGGTATCAAAACTGACGGTGTGAATTCTATGAAGAATATCCGAAAGGGAGTTGTTTGGTGGAATGTTGTTGAGGGTACTAACAGTGCAGCAGAGGATGACATTGTTTTACTGACAAGCATCATGAAGATTAAAGTGGATATCCAGGATATGAACACAAATTCTGCTATAATTGTAAGTGTTATACCTCAGGAAGGCAGGGAAAGGTTTGCGTATATTGAAGGTCTGAAGATTAAGGAAGAAAATGAAACCTCATTAGAGATAACAATTGTGGCGAATTCCTATTTGGTGGGTAGAAGCCCCTCTCTTAGGTCCCTTGTACTTGTAAATGGTATTTACAGGGATTTGTCAGCCCTTATATTGATTCTTCCATCTTCCAATGTAAGCGACCAAGATTGAATGCTCTTTATGATTTAAAAATGTTGATTATGGGGAGAGAGATTCCTCTTGAAATTCAGTCAGCCACCTGGGTGTTGGAATATGGCGCTGAGAACATGAGTTGCTATTCACTGATCATCTACCAGGACCTACTAGTGTCAACAACAAATCCTAATGATGACTTGGTGGACACTTTTACCTATATGGTCTTGAAACTGAATCCAAACGCTTTGCCTTCTGTCATTTTAGAAGATCTCGTACTGAAGTCCCTAGTCCATCAACCAGTCAGGTATTGGGAAGGAAGAGGCGCAAGGAAGAAGAAGCAGAAGATATTGACTGTCTCCTACCGCCCACCCATAGTTGTCATAACGCATGGCGATCTCCATGGCTCAAAGACATTTATCATGGCGCATGGCGATGACGCATATATGAATGGCGTATATGGCGCATATGGCGCTATGGCGACAATAACTTTTTCATGGCGATGGCGCATATGGCGCGTGCCATATCTCGCCATTGACTACTATGCGCCCACCTTGAGGGCAAGGTGAATGTTTAGGGAGGGAGTATTGATAGAGACCTACCTATTAGATTAATAATAGAAAGAATAATAATAATAGTTGTAATAAGGGCTTAGGCAGTATTATAGTATAAATAGATGTAGAGGGAAGGTAGTAAGGAGGCTTTTGGACTTTCTGTCTTGGGACTTGGGAAGATTAGAGAGTTATTCTCTTCTCTTTGGGAGGCTTCGGCCTTTGTTACTGTTTCTCCTCTGTAACTGATCTTCTTCATCAATAAAGAATTCAGTTGCATTGGGGGCTTCGGCCATAGTTACTGCTCTTGTTCTTCTTCAATAATATTTCAGTTGTTTTCTTGTTAATCTTTCTGTAAATCTTTCTGGAATCTTGGGGTTTCTATCAATCAGATTGGTTAAAGGAAGGAGGTTCTGTACTGGTCCAACTTGAGGCATTTATTAGTTGTACATTCTCTATTTTTTCTGAAATTTGGGTATGTATTGTTGCAAAATATGAGGCAACCCGTTTCAAGATATTTGATATTTTGATAGTGGTAAGAGCACAGAAGTTGTTGATGTCTTAAACTTATGTGGCACATCTTTGACCTCTTCCCTTGAGGATAAGACTATATTTGAAGCGGGTGACAATGATAGAGACAAAGGAAGTCAAAGACAACCAGCAATATAATGCAGTCAATAAATTACTCATTGTGGTAGATTATGAACAAGGACTTCATTTAGCGAATTAAGTATTCAGAAATAAATGTAAGTATGTTTGGCGTTGGGAAGTCCTAGGTTGTTGGGCAAGTTATCTTGATGGGGAATACCTTTGGGTATTTCTTACTCTTAATTCTTCTACATGTATGTTTCTTCATGTTCTTTCAATTTTATAAAACATCAGCGTCTTTCTTGATCATTTCTCTGATTGCCTCTTTACCCTTTATCAGATCTTTTGCTAGCTAAGATGAATTGAAACTCAAGCTCTCATAAACTGGCAGGATGAAGCTGGTGGAGGTTTAGTATTCTGGCATCCTAAGGGAGCTATTGTGAGGCACATAATAGAATGTGCCTGGAAGAAGATTCATATGGAACGTGGGTATGATCTGCTATATACTCCCCATGTAGCTAAGGCAGATCTATGGAAGATAAGCGGCCATCTAGATTTCTACAAGGAGAATATGTTTGATCAAATGGAGATTGAGAACGAGATTTATCAGCTTCGACCAATGAATTGCCCATACCATATTTTGGTTTACAAAAGGAAACTACACTCGTTCCGGGATTTCCCAATCAGGGTTGCAGAGCTGGGAACAGTGTACAGATATGAGTTGTCTGGGAGCTTACATGGACTTTTCCGTGTAAGAGGCTTTACCCAGGTATGATCACTCGATTCCTCTCTCACACTCCCTCTCTCTCACTCACCCACTCACTTTTTATGAGTCTTGTGATCTTCTATGTTTGAATGAATTATCATTGATCTTGGAGTCGGCCAACGTTATTACTTTTTGACAATGTGATAAATTGGTTTCTAGCCCAACAAAGAGCATTGTTTTCCACCATATAGTGGATAATAAATTGTACTATGGCAATTAACAATTGCTTTATGTCTCATTATTTCTGTGTAACATGAAGCGATATAAAAAAATTATTTATATTAGTGTATACTAAAAAAATGATGTACGTCACCATTGACGTCCCCCAATCGCTGGCCCGACATTGGATGGAGGAGATAAATCTCGGTGACTCAAGCAATTGATGGTAATTGGTTGATCCCATAACCTCATGGCCATAGGCTAGGCACTTAAGCCCTCCTTCTCAACCACTTGAGCTACCCGGATGGACTAGTAGTATATACTCTGTATATTAGATAGGAGTAACGAAATGGTACTCAAGAAACTCATAACCTTCTTCCATTTTAATGTCACCTCTTTTGTTTGTTTCAAGGACGATGCACATGTATTTTGCTTGGAGGATCAAATTAAAGATGAAATATTGGGTGTACTAGACCTTACAGAGGAAATATTGCAACAATTTGGTTTTGCGAAGTATGAGGTCAACCTTTCGACTAGGCCTGAGAAAGCTGTTGGAAATGATGATATATGGAAAAAAGCAACTTCTGCACTTCAGGATGCTTTGTCTGTCAAAGGGTGGAGCTATCAGATAGATGAAGGAGGGGGTGCTTTTTATGGTCCTAAGATTGATCTCAAAATTGAAGATGCTCTGGGAAGAAAGTGGCAATGCTCCACCATACAGGCATGTTACTGGTCCCATAATTGTTGTAAATCCATCAGGAAAATAAAGTCTGGATAAGAAACATCCTAATAAGCAATCTTATTTGACTATAGGTGGACTTTAATTTACCGGAAAGGTTTGAGATGTCATATGTGGACACAGACCAAGAGAAGAAGCGCCCAATCTTAATCCACCGGGCAGTTCTTGGATCTCTAGAGCGCTTTTTCGGCATCCTAATAGAGCATTATGCTGGCGATTTTCCTTTATGGCTTTCTCCAATCCAAACTCGCCTTATACCCGTGACTAACGCACAGGTATGTTGCATACTTTCCTCCTTATTTTGATCCATTTGTAAGCGAATAATTATCATTTCATTGCACTACTTATTGTTACTTCCAATTCTAATTGATTCTGCTTTATTTGCACCATGAAAGAAATATTTGCAGTGATTAATTGAAAAGGTGGCGACTGTGTATTTGATGTGACAACTTAAGGGGTCAAATAAGCCCCTGAACCTGACCGAGTTGTTCAGTACTTCAGTTCACTCCTCAACCGTTAAAAAGTGTCAAAATTGTATAAGCTAAAATAAAATCTATTTATTATAACTATTTTTATATTTATAAATTATAATATCTATATATATGATAGCTGTCTTAGCTGATATATATGTATGTGCACACAAACATATGTAAGCCTGTGTGCATACACATACATATTAGCTTCTTATATACTACTAGTATAAACTAGACATAATTAGTACGTAGTATATATAACTAGTAAAAATTAATATAATATGTATATCAAAGAACTAATATAAAGATATAATTACTATTTGTATATTTTATGTTTTAATTAGTACGTCTGTCAGGTGAGTGAGTGAACTGAACAACTTGGTCGAGTCCAAATGCTTATTTGTTTCCTTAAATTGCCACGTCAGATGCATAATTGTCATCTTACGGGTTGACGTGGCGGTGACTGAAACATTACTCGCAAAAATTAAAATTTGAATCTTATTAGGAAAAAATGTCAAATAGGCGGCCCGTCAACTATCATGAATCTATCATATAAACCCATATACTAATAAAAGTGTCACTTAAAAACATTCAATATAGTAGGTTAAGAGCAGTTTTGACTTGTCTTTTTCCATTTCTTTTCTCTTTCCTTTTCTTCATTTTCCGCATCCCGTCCCAACTTCCTTCTAGCATCTACAATTTTTCCCTTCCATTTTTAATCTCTCTCTATCTTTTTGGATAAAAGGTAAGTATATATTAAAAATCATTCAAAAGTAACAAAACAATGTATCAAGGTGACAACTCCGGTACCTTTCTAAAATATGGGGTACCGTACCTATCATTCATTTGATTGGACCATATCACTTTATCATTTTTAATTTAGATTTAAATAATTCAACTGCTACATTCTCATTGGTCCATGTATACAAAGGTATGGTACCTTATGGGTACCATAGAATCTACCATGTATCAATTTATCAAAACTATCTATGCTAGCTAAACTAGGCAAAAATTGTAACTAACGCCCCTCTCCCCCCAACTTTCGGAAAGGGGCAGAGAGTGAGTTTTTAAACGTAAAAAACAGTAAATCAATAAATCAAAAAGCAGATCCAAACTAGTTTCGGACCAGTGAAAACCCCGTCCCTAGCCAAAGCCCAGCAAAAACAGATCCCAGCAGTCAGGTGTCTGGTCCAGTGAAGGAGCATCAGCCTTCCCGCATCAGCAAAGAAGTCAAGTAGCTTGCAGCCGAAGCCCATCAGTGCAGTAGCTTCCCAGATGACCAAGTTCCCGGATCAGCCCAACTCGCCCAGCCCAGTGTCGCATTCCATCCCGCGCCGCATCATCACGCGGAAAACCAAGCAGATTTCAAAATTGGTGTTTTCAAATGACAACTTTGCGTAAATTAAATTAAACACTTAAAAGCTAAAAGTTGAAAGCAGGTTGATGAGTGCTTTAAACTGCTTTTCACTTTTTCTATTACACAAAACGCACTTACTTTATCAAACACTACCAACTTTTACTTTTTCAGAAGCACTTTTTTCTCAAACGCTACCAACTTTTACTATTAACCACTTTATCTAAAATCACTTTAAAAAACACATTTTTAAAGTAGAAGCAATCACAAACACTCCCTTCAAAATTCGAAAGTTGACTGTGACAGCCTGTCCAACAGTCACTGTACACGCGTCAGGATTCCTAACGAAGCAGCTTGGCGGGTTGGCCGCATGAGAACCTGCTCCAGGACTTCCCTCCCTCGGCGCTGCCACGGAAAACACCATCCCACTTGGAAAATGGCCATCTGCAAACTTTGTGAAGCAGCGAAGAAAGCAGCAGGACCCTTAACATTCTGGAAGCTCTACAGGCCATTGACAAGCGTCCCTATCCACCTGTCCTCCGGCTGTAAGAGATCCCCAACCTTTCCGGCGTCACTTACGAGGACGACAACTGCTACAGTAACCGGAGGATTTTTACCCTGGTTGTGAATGAGAAGGGAAAGACGAGAGCGAGACTCAACGGTCAACATCTGAAGCATAAACCAGCAGTAATTAGAACCAGCGGACCCCATGAGGATGTATCAGACAGCAACTCAGGTCAAACTTATTTCTCTGTATTCCGGCCTGGACCTCCGACCAAGAAATCAAAGGACGCCGCCTTCGAGGACTTCCATAAGGCACCACAGCACCACCGGAGTTCCTGTTCACCAGCGCACCAGAAAAGTGTGGGTCTCACCTGTGAATCAGTACCTTCAAAGTTTCCAAAAACTCAGACCAAAACCAAACAAAGCCTACCGGAGCCAGGAGGGCTCCGGCTGCGGCGGTCCACCGTGAATGGTGGCTCCGGACACTTGAAGGGCGAAGAGAGAGCAACCTAGGAGAAGCCTAGTGAGAGACGCTCTCAACTCTCTCTAGAACCCTTCTTTTCTCTCTCTTTCTCTCTATATATATGAAAAAGATCCTGTCCATCCGGTCCTGTCCATCCGGATGTACAGGTGGCGCCGTCCGGCCGCCGCCGTTTGGGACGGTTTCCGGTGGTATTTTGTGATGAATTTTTTTGAGCATGTTCCTCATCAAGTCTAGTTTATTCACAAAAAAAATCAGCTAAAAATTTGATTGGGAAGGCAGCCAAATAATTTTTGGAAAATAACTGCGTTTTATAAGTATAATTTGGCGCAGTTATCTTCAAAGAATTATTTGACTGCCTTCCCGGTCGAATTTTTAGCTGATTCTTTTAGTGGATAAACTAGACTTCACAAGGAACATACTAAAAAAAATTCATCAAAAAATTCCACCAAGAACCGTCCCAAATGGCTGCGGCCGGACGGCGCCTCCTGTCCCTCCGGCTGGACAGGATCATTACTCATACTATATATATTGAGAGAGAGAGAGAGAAAGAGCCCCATTCCTATGAGGAGCTCCTGAAGAGAATCCTCGTGCGGGCAAGACCATCAGAGGGACAGGGTCTTCCTGGTGAAATTTTTTGATGAAATTTTGTGAGCATGTTACTCATCAAGTCTACTTTACTCATACAATTTTAGCTCAAAAATTCGATCGGGAAGGCAGTCAAATAAATTCTTGATACATACTGCGCAATATATGTGCGCAGAATTCGCCATATGTTTCAAAAATTTATGTGACTGCTTTCCCGATTGAATTTTGAGCTGAAATTTTGTATGAATAAACTAGACTTGATGAGTAACATGCTTACAAAATTTCATCAAAAAATTCCACCAGGAAGACCCTCTGATGGTCTTGTCCGCACGGGAATTCTGTTCAGGAGCTCCGGATAGGAACGAGACTATATATATTTGTATATATATATTTTACTATATTAAGAGAAAAAGTACAAGGGGGGACATAAAACCTTACCCCTGTTAAGATCCGAGGTTCCATCCTAAAAGGTCAACCTGTTAGGAGGAGTAGCCCGAAGCTTAATATAGCACTCTAGTGCTTCTCAATTTTCCGGTGTGTGACATTTAACACCCCTCCTCACGACCAGACACTTCGTCTGGATCGTGTCGTCATTCATTTTTCATCGGTTCGTCAATTTTTTTTATCGTGTCGTCATTTTTCATAAGGGGCCCCACACCATGGATCGATTTGGCTCTGATACCATGTTAAGATCCGAGGTTCCATCCTAAAAGGTCAACCTGTTAGGAGGAGTAGCCCGAAGCTTAATATAGCACTCTAGTGCTTCTCAATTTTCCGGTGTGTGACATTTAACAACCCCAAAGTGTGAAGTACATGAGGAAAGCTATGAAAGTCTAAAATCAGAGCTCCTCGAATACGAAGGTGAAGAACAAGAGAGCTAGTAATGTGAGTAAAGTTTGGCGTGGAAATCAAATTACATAAAAGATAAGCAACATTAACTTGAGTTAACAATAATTGAAAGTTACTCCATGGGAACAAGCAATGTCAAGAATCTCCTCAACAAATTTGTTAATTTCCCTTATACTCGTCATGTGTCGCCTGGTTAGAAGTATGAAACTAGATAATGAATCAATTTCCATCGTATAAGTGTGGTAGTCATTATTGCATGTCCATGACAGCATAGTAAATATTCCCCCGAAGCTCGGATAAGAGAGTAGATTGACCAGGAGATTCAAAAGAGAGTGCACCGCTTCTGTAACCTGACGTATGGATGTTAATTTTGTAGCCATGGAGCAGTTTAAACCATCGGGCTATTTTGAGTTTGCTGGACCAAGGCGGGATCATGCGCTCTTGGAGTAGTAAGGGAATTTGAATTGCATATTTGGTGTTGTGTAAGAAATGAGCCCAGGTCCACATGTGATATTGTACACGTGAAATGATTTGTTTTGAAGAAGGAACGTGAGAAGCTCCCAGTTAACTTCAGCATAAATCTTCCACAAGAACCACGCAATAGCACCTGGAAGAATCTTCAGAAATAGATTTTCAAGCTTGTTATTACTTGAGTGTAACCACCAAGCAAAAATGACCTCTCTAAGGGAGGTTTTAGGAGCAGGTCTGGGTATAAGGAATATGCCCATGAAGTAGTTCCAAATTTCCGTTGCAAATACACAAGAGAAAAGATAGTCGTCCATTTCCGCTGAAGCGTTTAAGCAAATAGGACACATTGAAGCTAAGAGCGTCTGCATCCTACTCAAATTGTTGGGAAAGGGAAGAATGTTATGGGAAGAGTTTCCATAAGAATAATTTAATGGAAGAATACTGTTTTGGGTGCCATGTTTGTGTGAAGGAGAGGGTTGATCCTTTTCTCTCTCTAAGACCCTCGTAAGCAGAAGCTAATGAGAAGACCCATCAGAAGAAAGAGACCATATCGGAGTGCCGTCCGTCGCGACATGAGTGAATTCTAGACATTGGTTATGGATGCTGCAAATTCTGCGCCAGACGGGAGAATCAGGGAGTTTGGGTATCATGTTATCACCTCTAGGATAGCGTCGATGCATGAAATGAGACCAGAGAGAATTCCTCATCTTCCAATTCCACCACAATTTGCATGAGTATGCTTCCTGAAGAGTGGCAAGGGACCGAACATTAAATCTTGACTCCCAAGTATTTGAAAGGCAGCTTAGATACTCTCATTTGTAGAATGGATTCCATTTAGTCTTTACGGTCTTGTTACCAGATTGCCTGTAATAAAAGTACTCTTTTGGAGGTTTACCTGTAGGCCAGTAGCTTCTTGATAAGCTTCTAGGAATATTCTGAATTCCCGCAACGAAGAGGAGGAGCCATTAAGGAATATGAACAAATCATCAGCAAAAGCAAGATGACTGATGATAGGAGTATCTCTTGCCACCGAAAAGGGGAGAATAGATCCCCTGAGCATCAAATGGTTTACTCCCCTAGAGAACATATATATATATATATATATATATATATATATATATATATATATATATATATATATATATATATAGGGAGCGGTTCCAATGAGAACTATGCTTAACGTGAGAACCATGCACTTTTAACACATCTCGGCGCACTATGAGGCTCATCCATTGCACTTTTTAAATTTTGATCAAAACGTGCTAATATCAAATAAATGTGGTGTCAGATTTCTAAATATTTTGTCAACATGAAAATGTGCAACATATACATGATATAGTGCATCACATCTGCTTAAAAGTAGAGTTCTCACGTTCTCACGTTAAGCATAGTTCTCATTTGAACCTAAATATATATATATATATATATATATATATATACACACACACACACATATGACCTTCAATCCCAACTCTATTGATGACAAATGATACTCTATTACTCTTACAAGTAAGAGACACACAGTTAGTAGGGCAAGCTTTGGAAGCAAAAAAAGCTCAGCAAAAAAGCAGAGATGAAATTTAAGAGGTTACTGCCGCTCCCTTGTTCCATGGAGTTCCCACCGATTCACCATTTGTTCTCTGAAGTTGGTCTTGAATCTACCGGCATAATGAGAACGACTGTTGCCAATTCCAACTTCCAATAGTCTTTCTGATGTGTGCAGCAGGATAGGCTCAAGAAGAACACCGGCTCATCTGGGTGCGATGATTGGGTGCGGTGATTGAGATGAGTTTTGTTTCCATTTGAAGGCTATAGTCGTGGTGGTTGGCAGCAACGATGGCTAGGGTTGGAGGGGTGGGTTGCACGGTGGCAACAGGTTTGGGGACGTTGCAGTCGGTGAGTGGAGGAAGTTGCAGGAGAGGGATAGTGAAGGGGGTTGGGGAGCGGAGAGGGGCTGAGGGCCGGCGGCACCGGACGGAGATAGTTGTGTAATTAGGTTACTTGGGCACTTGTAAATTGACCAGCGGTGGTCATTGGGCCGACGGTGGGCATCTATGGCAGCATTTAGTGGCTAAAGTCACTATGACTATAACATGGCACAAATGTCAGTGATGCTGGAGTCACTTAGTAACAGGGCATAAATTTCCTATATATTTACTTTTTTGGAAAGTTTTAAATGTGGTCTTATTTTGGTCTTTAACTTTTGATGCAATATTATTTGGGGTAATTTGAGTTTGCACCCCATTTTATTGTCTAAATTAGAATTTTCACCCCGTTTTAAAAAAACTTTATTTTTGCACTGCAACCCCGTATGAAAATACAAAAAATGCCCATCGATCAGGAATATGTTGAAAGCCAACCGAATTGTTAATGGAAGGACATTTTGTCTTTTCATACAGGTTTGGGGGAAAACATATTTTTTTTAAAACGTGGTGCAAAGTCCAATTTGGACAATAAAATAGGATGCAAACTCAAATTACCCTGTATTATTTCTAACAAAACCCCATGAGTAAATACAATAAGTATGAACGAAGGGCAATGCCAACTTTCGAGAGTCACAGATCATATCGGCAATGAACGAAGGGTTTATAGTTTGGTGCTGACTAATTGTTCGGCGAGTTTCTTTCAATGGTGTTTCGCCGATTGCTTTGATGTCGATAGCGCTGAAATGGTATCAATTTCTTTTCGTTTGGATGTTGGGAGGTTGACGATGGTGATGTCGATCTGCTTTGGGGTGTCCATAGTTTCCGTAGTTCAAAGATCTTCTGGGGGCCTTGCGAGGTACTATCATCCAGGCTCAAGTTCAAAGATCTCCTGGGGGCCTTGCGAGGTGCTATCGTTCAAGCTCAACTTGGCTTGGGATTTAGGGAAGGCGGTCGTGGTGCGGCAGCGCTGCATAGCGAGGAAGCAAGAAGGCTATCTACATTCTTAGGTGGGTATGTAGATGTGGGAAAGCACAAATCGATGGTTATGGTGGACGAGAGTTCGGCCTGTGATGGAAGATCAATCACACGGTACTATGATCCGACCTCTTTCTGAACCACCGGCCGCCATGGGTTGAACGGGTGCTAGAGTTCCACAAATTTATCCTATGAGTTATTGTTATATTGTTTGGTTTCTTTTTAAAGTCTTTGTCGCAAGGTTTATCGGTTAGCTTATGTTTACATTGTTAGAAGTACACAAATCTATAGGATCAACGATAGTTAGGGAAAGTTAGTTGATGTCAGATTGTCAGGTATGGTTTTTCTTTGATTGATGTAATGATCCTGAAACTAATAATATAAATACAAGCGATAATACAATAAGTATGAACAAATATTTCACCCAAACTTTTTTTACCTTCAAATCGTCCTTTCTCATTGGGTGTTTCCTTCTTTTTAGCTTTTTATGATGAATGAATAGAAACATTATTTGATAGATCAATTGACACATGCGCACATTGCTTGCAGCTTGAGTTTTGTAAGGAGACGGTGAAGAGATTAAAGGCAAGTGGTATTCGTGCTGAGCTCTGCAGCGGTGAGCGTTTGTCAAAACTGATCAGAAATGCAGAGAAGCAGAAGGTACCATTGATGGCTGTGATAGGCCCGAAAGAAGTAGAAACCAACACTATCACCGTCAGATCAAGATTTGGTGGTGAATTGGGGACCATGCATGTCGATGATTTCATAAGGAAAGCCAATAATGCAATTGAATGCAGAACATTCATTTGAATTGCATCCTTTATTTTTATTTTTTACTTCCCGGTATCTATGGATTGTCGTGTAACTTGAAATGGTGAAATAAAGAATCAGCAAAGCTTTGTTCGTGATAACTTGCTTCTTGAACAAATCCGTTTGTTTCTAAGATGATTTGTTGCTGATTCCGTATTTCCGTTATCTTTGTCTCAATTGGAATGAAGCCAAATATTCACTATTTTTTGGCTTAGATATATGATGGTGTAAAACAAAATGGCTCATTAAATAGTTTGCGCTTCTTTGTTATAAAGTAATAGACTAATAGTTAGTTCATGTAATTTTTGACGTGTTTTCACCATGAGTCATCCGGAAATAATCTCTTTGTACTAAGTTGCGAATATCCGATCTCAATTTACCCCAACGTAGGTGGGAGCCTTTGGGACATTGAGATAATTTGTGACGTGCATATCAACTATCAAGTCACTTTATTCTTAATGAATTGACATTTTTTTTGACATATTAAACGAACTTTTGTGAATAATTATTCATGTACAAAAGACATTTGTGAATAAATTTAACAATTTTAAAATTTGTTAAAATCACTAAATCAAATAAAAATGTTAATCAATTTTCTTTTATTTGACAATTAAGTTGGTTCATAAAAGTAGTGATGGACCGGGACCAGTCAGACCGGTCCGGGACCCGGCCCGGATCGCCACTGTGTGGTACCGAATCGGCCCGGTTGATCGAGACCGGGCCTAGGACCCGACCCGGGTGTGTTTTGTGGACGGGCTCGGGCTACAGCCCTCTTGGAACCGGCTTGACCGGTTCAGACCCTTTTTTTTTGTTTTTTGTTTTTTTAGAATGGTTTGGGTAAGAGGCGGGTTGGGCTGGGTGGTTTGGGGGTGTTTGGGGTGGGGTGGGGGGGTAAAATTAATAAGCAACAACCAAACAAAAATATAGTACCTGACCCGGTCATGGCTCAGTCTCGGAACATAGCCGCGTTGGTATCGGGTCTCCATTTCTCAAACTCGGTCCCACCCTAAGCCTAACCTGGGACCGGTCCATCCCTACATAGGGATGGCCTCGGGCTGGTTCGGGCCCGGTTCGGGCCTAGGCCCGGCCGGGCCACGGTTCAGAAAAATGAGGCCCGAGCCCGAACCGGTGGTGGGCGGTTCCGGGTCCGGTTCCGGGCCAGACCGGGCCGGGCCACCCGGATTTTTAATTTTTTTCTTCTTCTCTTATTTAACCCCCTACCCCTCCCCCTCCACCCCAAACCACCCCAAACCACCTCAAATGGCCCAAAATACCTAATCCAACCCAAAACTTTAAAAAAATTCAAAATAAATAAATAAATTAAATTCCGGCCCGAACCGGCCGGGCCGGTTCACCAAAACATAGGCCCGAGCCCGAACCGCCCAAAGGCCGGGCCGGTTCGACCCGAACCACTGGGCCCACCGGTTCCCGGGCCGGGCCGGGCTCAACAGTAACCGGGCCGGGCCGGGCCGGGCTCAACAGTAACCGGGCCGGGCCGGTTCCGGGTCGGGCCGCCCGGCCCGAGTCCATCCCTATCCCTACATAAAAGGGAGTATGCACATGATTTGTAATAACACATGAGGTTTGATTCATTTACAAATCACAGAGGTTAATACGCCAAATTTCTATATCGGGGGTTTGATGCATTAAACACAATTGATAAATGGACAATAGGACAAGTCATAGTGTTGTACAATTGTATAATGCAAGATAATCATAGACATGTTGGCAAAACATCTTTTAATTGATTAAAGTCAGCATTTTTAAAATTTGAATAGTCAAGTATGGAGTAGCTTATTACAGACGGCAATACCGAATCACAAGACTCTTATATTCTCTCTATGTCACGTACAATCAATGGCGTCTATTATACCAATGACTCGATTTTGAGCCATTTTTTTACTCATATCTTTTGGAGGGTAAATGGCCAAAGTTTCCACTTTGTTTTGTATATATATATATATATATGTATATATATATATATATGTATATATATATGTATATATATATATATGTATGTCTATATATATATGTATGTATATATATGTATATATATATATATGTATATATATGTATATATATACATATATATGTATATATATGTATATATATACGTATATATATACATATATGTATATATATATGTATATATATATATAGGGGTTAGTTCCTGTGAGAACACCCTCTTAGGAGAGTAAAAAAGAACAAAATCTAGCCTTCCATTAACTTGATCTAATGGCTTAGCATTTTTTTTAAAAAGAGACCAAATTCGGAGGATTAGGCTTACATATAAGGCAACCGTTCAATTGAAAATTAAATAAGGGGCACCATGGTAAATTTTATCGAAGTAGTATTACGCATGCGGCACTATAATAGGAGTACATCCTAGAAATTAGGATACTAATTAATAAGGAGTAACGTACCTCCCTCCTATCTAATATATACTTTCTATTGATTAATTTTATTTCCATATTAAATTTAACAGTATCTCACATATTATTTTAATAAAAAATTTGATAAAAAACTCTATCCAAATTGTGCACTTTTTCTCGTTTAATAGTCTTTTTAGAGGTAATATTTCACTCATTTATTTTTGTATATCTGCACTTAAACATTTAATAGTTGCACTTTTATTTGACACATTTTGCGTCATCAATTTAATTAAATATTTAGATGCTTTTGCAACCCAAAGGAAAATTACATGTTTATTACGTTAATATACACTATTGTAAACCACACTTTAATGTCATTAATTTGCACTTTCTATAACATTTACATTTTAAACATTTAATTCTACACGTTCATACAAGCCCGGGATAAAATTCATAAAATTAAATTAATATAAATATACAAGGGTGTAAACAATAACTATAATGTGCATTTAGAATAATACCAATGTGCACTATTATATCACACTTTCTAAACCTCTTCATTGACACTCTCTTACAAAATAAAATGCACTTCTATTATGTGCATTTAAGTAATAGATAAAAGTGCACCAAAATATCACACTTTTATAATATTTTACATTGACACTTTTTACTAAATGAAATGCACTTTTCTTCTGAAAACATCATACTTTTCGTTATAGTAGGGTCTCTTGGTGTCACTTTTATCTGCAAAACAAAGTACAATAAAAACTATGAATAGTGCATGAATTAAATTTGACAAGTGCATTAAAAGTTAGATACAAATTTATCATTATTATCTTATTAGCAGTTAGTAGATAACTATTAAGAAATTGTTCAACATTAAACATGTTAAATGCATCATATGACAATGTAAATGCACTAAACTACTAGTGAAATCTATCAATCTAAAAAATATGTCAATACAAACTCATATATCTAAAGATATGCAACAATAATATGAAAAAGTGCAAACGAAGTACATATAGTTGCATCAAATTTAACAATCAATAGTTAAACATCTATGAAACTGTCAATTTCATAACCAACATAACATAAACCAACTTAACATAACCGTGCACCATTGACAACCCGTAAAGCCTACTTGAAGCAAATAAATTATAAATTGGATTAAAGAACTTAAGGCGAAGAAGAAAATTACAAATCTGCTTAAGAAGAAAATAGAAACATGAAGGGAACCGAGTTTGTAAGAAGAAGAACAAGAATAAGGCGGAAATAGGAATGGAAATTATTGGTGGTGAATAAGGTGGAGGTGAGAATGGAGGTTGTTGACGGTGATGGAGAAACGATGGAGAAGAAGGTATGAAAGTAAATAGATAAGGGAAGAAATAATTAACAAAATTAAAGAGATGATAATCTCAATTGGTTAAACGCATGGATTTAGTCATATAAGGAAAGATCTAGAATGACATATCTACCCTTATACGGATTAATTAATTATTGTTCATAATGTTTCAATCCAATGGCTCAGGATGATTCTTTTTTCCTCTCCTAAGATTAAGTTCTCACATGAACCTAAATCTATATATATATATGTATGTATGTATATATATATATATGTATATATATGTATATATATTAGTTCCTGTGAGAACACCCTCTTAGGAGAGTAAAAAAGATTAAAATCGAACCATTGACTAATGTAATCGTGTGGCTTTAATGATGGCTTGGGTTTAAAAAAAAAACACTCCACCTCACGTGATTAAAATTGAATGCATGCTTTTAATTATGAAAGGACATTAAAGTAAAATGACTTTAATTTGTGTGGCCGTTGATAATTACAAGTCAACACCTTCCTTAAATATCTCAAACGTTTTTTTTATTTTCAACAAATAAACTCCAACTTTCTCTAAAAGTTAGGGCCGGGGTTGTTATTATGAAGTTGGAATTTTCCTAGTAATTAGGAAAGCAATTTAATTATATTCTCTCATGAGTTGTTTTACAATACGTACTTCCTTTTAATTTGATAGTTTTTAAATGATTTTTCATAAATATATTTTTACTTTGTTTGCATTATTTACGTACTTGATCAAAACAACATGTATTGTATTTGCACTCCAGAATAAAATAAATGTACTTTTATTTAAAATTTTATGCAACATCAACTTAATCATATATTGGGTTTTCCACAAATATGATTATAAGTAGTTAACACCATTTATCATTGAAACATGTGTAAAAAAATAACACTTTTATTATATTAATGTGCACTTTTGTAAACTGCACGTTTATGTTATTAACTTTCACTTTGTTTTAAGAAAATCCTACAATGTGCATTTCTAAACTCAACCGGATGGTCTTAAATAAAACGAAAATAAATATACAAGAGTATTAACCAAGAGTGCACTTCAAATGAACAAAAAAGTGCACTTTCGTTTATACAAAAGTGAGAAATTATATCACACTTTCTAGAGTTTTGCATACAAATTCTTACACAACAAAATGCACTTTTATCATGTGCATTGGAAATAGATACAAAAGTGCACTATTATAATAAACTTTCTATATCTTGACATCGACATTTCTTACAAAATCAAATGCACTTTTTCTTCCAAATGGGTCACAATAATTGCTCTATTGGTATTGCATCATATCTGCAAAAAAAAAAAAAAATAAAACCTAACGAAAATGTATGACTAAAACATGGTAAGTGCATCAAAAACTTTTTCTTCAATGAAGATCTGCAAAAACTAAGCGATCATATT